TAATTTAAATTTACATATTGATATTGAACCTAGAAGTTACTCAGAAGCAACAAACAACCCAAATTGGCACAAGTTTTTGTAAAGTAAAATCCAAGCACTTGAGAAGAACAGTATCTGGTCCTTTACATTATCGCCCGTTAGAAAGTACCTATCGGCTGTCGTTAGGTATATAATAAGATCAAGCGAAATTCAGATGGCTCCATTTAAAAGGCATAAGTGATGTTAAGGAATTTTAGCATAATAATCTTCGTCTTAAAGATTTAGGTGGCTATTGAAGTTTCAACATCAAAAAGGGTATCAGTATGTCACAATGCAAATATGCTTTGGAAATCATCAAAGATGTCGGTTTACTAGGTGTACATTGCTCCAGCTAAAACACATATGGAATGAGGAACAAAATTGTCTGATGGTAGTGAAGCACTCCGAGATGTAGGAAAATACCGGAAGGTTGATTGGCAGGTTAATTTACCTCATAGTCTCCAGACTAGACATCACTTATGTAGTTCATGTTCTAAGTAGGTTTATGCGCCAAGCTCGGAAAGATCATTGGGATGCACCCTACGTGTTGTTCGATATTTAAAGGAGCTCATGGTCAAGGCCTCTTCTTTTCAAAATTAAGAGCCTTCTGTGACGATCAACCACTGGTTATTGTGTATTTTTAGGTGACTCATTAGTTTCATGGAGATTGAAACGTCAGAAAATTGTACGTCTTGTTATCTTCTATAGAACGTGCAATGACGGGAGCTTGGTGCGTATTGACATGGATTTGTTCCTTGCATGGTTCAAGATTTAAGAGTTGCTCATGAAGGCACGACCTCATTACACCGTGAATAAAGCGACATTACATATATATAGTATAGCTGCTGATCCATTTTTTCATGCACGAACAAGGCATATAGAAATGGCTTGTCACTACGTACATCAAAGATCAAATCAATTAAGAAGGTGTTGTTGAGACCAAGTTCTTAAGCTCCATTAACCAGCTTGCAGACGTCATGAGCTAGCAAACCTTACATGTTCATTTCTATGATTCCTTTTCTTTTTTTTGCAATAAAACCCTATATATTAACATGTATCATATGAAATAATAAAACATAAATTAATAAACTAATCATTAACCACTATTTTGGGTTTAAACCCACTTGTTTTTATGGGAACATGAAACTATATATGGCATCTTTCACTGATTTCATGGCCTTAATTAATGCCCTAACCATCTTTGAACTGAACATGATTTCAACCATTAATTAATTTGAACATAAGTTTAGATTAGTTTCTTACCATAAATTTCACTAATTATGCAGTATAATATTTATATGTATATGCTTGAGATAATATGATAACTTTTACATTTTATCTATATATGTAAGTTGTTGGATTGGATGATTTTATTTGTTTATAGATGTCATTAAATATATTAGAACGTTCAGGGTATATAAATATTAAACACAAATCTTAATAATACCTTAACATGAAAATCCCAAGGCATATAAAAAACAGTATTTATAGTTTATATATATATATATATATATATATTGGAGCTGAGTAATTTAAATAGTAATATCAAAGGGTTTAGAAGTCAAGTTTGAGTATGGATCACGTCCATAAATACAAAAACAAAAATATAATATTGGTTCCATTGACTAATTAATCACAACGAGTGGTCATCATTACAAGTCGGTTCCAATAAAAACAAAATAATTACATCGTGTGTAACCACATCGAAGCTTTTTGGTCGCTCTTCATTTTATAATAATAACTCGTTTTCAAACGAAAATGATATCTATTATATAAAACTAGTTGTGTACCCGTGCAATGTGGCGGGAGCCATGAATTTTAACGATTTTTAAGTTCCTTTGGTTTTATAAGATAAAATTTAATGATGATATAGGTTACACTTGGTCTTTACATATTAATACAATTTGAATAAATAAGAGTCATGGTTCCAATTACAGACTATCGATGAAAAAAATTGTATGACAGTTTAAAATCCAACATATTTAAACGACTCCATAAATATATTCGATTTACACCAAGAGCAAAGAACCAAGAAACTTGAGTTTTAAGATAAACACTCAAAACCAATAAAAAAACCTACAAATTTGACATATCATAAGCCATGAAAAGACCAAAAAAGATGGGTTTTAGAAGGAAATTTCAACTGCTTACCCTCTTTTTTGTCCAGAAACTCGGATTAAGGTTGAATTAATACATGTGTATATATATATATATATATATTTCAAAAAAACCCAAGAACATATTAATTCAGAACATATTATACAGTGCAATTTGGACAGCCTAATCCCAAAATATATAGTATATATATAAATAAATAWCTATAAAAGTATAAATCGTAAATATTAAAAATATTTTTTCACAGTATATGTAAGATATAATAATATAATTAAGTCAAAAATTATTCAATATTGGACTCATTTCGAAGGTATTAATGAGACGATTATAATGATGTAACTTGTTAAAATAAAAATGTATTTTTTAAATATGTTTTAATTGATATACGATTATGTATGTTAATTTGATAAAGGTTTAAAATGAAACATTTAAAAGTAAAGAACGTAAAGTAAATTAATTAACTAATTATAGGAGTATAAAGTATAAATTTAAAATTGTAATTTACGTTGTGAGAGGGTGAGTGTATGTGAGGGTAGAGAGGAGGGGAGGTGAAAAAGTGAAAAAAAAAAATGATGTAAGGGTAATATAAAAGGTATTTTGGTCATTTAGTATTTTAAGACTTTAAAACTTTTGTTAAATTTGCTTAATAAGATAGTATAGATATAGATAAAGAGAAGAATCGAATCATAAAGTTTTATATAAATAAGGATATATTTATAATTTTAATATATCTATGATTGTCATTATGACAGATTTAGTCCCTAAATTTATGTAATGTTAACATATGATGGATGTGGGTGACATAACAATTACATAAGGGGCTGAACGGTTTCTTTATGATATATGGCTTCAACTTCGCTCTCTCCATTTATCGCTCGCTTATAGAGGACATGAAAAAATCAACATCACTAATCGATTCTTCGATCTCTCCATCTTAAGTTCGTATATCCTTAAAAAATCAACAACATCAAATGGCATCATCATCTTCTACTCTTTCAAATACGTGATTCACACCAAGTCTATGTGTTCTTTTTAAGTTTGGGATGAAATTTGATCCTTATGATTAATGTTTCTATCACATGATGCCCTTACAAATTAAAAATAAAGAAAAACAAATGGATTTATGTGATTGGTTGTTATTAGTTTGTATGATTTGTGTAACTTGAGGCGGTTTGTATTTGAACGCTTCTATATATATATACATATATATATATATATATGAGCCTATTCAAATTAGAACTTAATAATTTGTGATAATTATGAGATCCAAACTCAACCAATGGACTATTGATATAGATTTATTTATTTAATTAAGGGTGCGTTAGTAATTAAAATTAATTATTTTAGCAGTCAAGTTTTATTATGCAATTTTCTAATGTATCAACCAAATTGAATTTTTGATAGTTATCCATTCCATTCTGTATTGTTTTTTATTTTCTCCACCTTCTCTCTCTGGTTGTTGTTATTCCCTTAAGCAAGATCGCCATCATTTTGTCACCCCACAACCCTTCTCTGATCGGATTCATTCACGACTTGGGTCACAAGACCCGACACAATCAGCATGTGTGGTGCCTCAACCCATATTTAGAAGGGTATTATAGTGGGTTTGTGTTTTACTTTTTATAAATTCTTGGATATCATCGTGAATTTGAGTTTTACTGGTTAGAAGTTATTGGATATCATAATGAAATAAGTTTACAAGTTCTTGGGTATTCGAAATAAGTTTAGCCGAAGTAAGATTTTTTGGAGATAGAAGAGAGAGATTCACAAAAAGGCTAATTTACCCTTAATTTTTTTCTTTTTGAAAATTAATATTAACTATTAATTATTAATAATGAGAGGTTAAAATTGAATTTTTCGATTAAATAATAAAATCCATTTGAACAAAATGGAGATATGAGGTGCAATTGCAAACCTCATTTTTTGAACCCAATTTACATGATTGGTCCTTCAAATGCAACTTTTCATACCAAAAGACCTAAAGTATCCAAAATAAAGAATTGGATTATTAAAAAACAACAATAAATTATAAATAATAAAGATGAAATCAACAATAAATTATAAATTTACGTATTATAATTATTTAAGAAAACAATGAAATATATTTTTTCCTAGCATTGTTGGATTGGAATTTGGTCTAAATTTCTCCTAATAACTTGCTTCCGTTCAGTTGGTTGATTTTTTCCTAATATTATTTTTATAATGATTTATAATTAATCCAAGTTATCAAATAATAATAATAATAATAATAATAATTATTATTATTATTATTATTATTATTATTATTATAAAAGAAAATTGTTAGGATGTCCAGATTGGCTTCGATGATACAATTGCGAAATTTCCACTTTTGTAATTCCAAAGCAAATTTAAAGTCTGGTCAAACGGTATAAAAATACCATTTTTTAATGTTAATCATAATATATTAAACACAGCTTTTTCAAAAATATTGTATACTTTTCTTTTGCTTCAAAAGATTCTTACAAGAAACATATATTTTAGTTGCAATTTTAATCATGTTTATATTTTTTAAACAGTTTATAAAATATATCAATTAAAAAGAAAAAGTAAATTGATAGTTATATCTTGAATGTGCTATAATATTATATTGTTTATACATAACAACAACATTTATAATAAAACTTAACAACTTAATACTAATAATCACATCATTCATTTGTTACATATACCATTACCAAGTAAAAAAATTAAAAAATGGACTGTTTGTTGCACCAATTTAAAAAAAATCACCTTTGGACTAAATAGAGATCGGGGTTACTTGTAAAATCCAACCTTTCAAATCTCAACAAAGATGTTCAGTCCGGATTGTTTTGTTAGAGCAAAACCAACTTGTGCACATCTCTAACTTTCATGGAAATGGAACCAGCAAAAAAGTACTACCAAGACTTGCATGAACAGTAACTGAAATCTTGAATTTTCAACAGAGATTGATTGCATAACAACTTATGTCCTAGTTCTCGGAACACATATGGAAAAACCTAATTTCAGTCACAGTGGTGGTTTTATGCTTAACAAGATAGATACATCACCGTATATCTAATTCACTTACTCGAACCAGTACCAGCGTCAGTTGTAGCATTGATAGCGCATTGAGAAACATAAGCTTTCAGCTGCAAATACGAGTCAACAACCAAAATCCATTCAAAAGTTGTTCCCAAATGCAGATAATCAAAACCAAACCAAGCGAGTCCAACATATTCCAAATAGTGGTGGGGTTGGGATTAGGGATAGAAACGGGACGGGTTTTTTTTTTTGGGGGGGGGGGGGGTTTAATGCATCCCCATCCCCCGTTTAAGTCCCCTCCCTGACTAATCCCAGATGGGTTCGGGGGGAAAGAATCCCCAGCGGGTTTGAGGAACCCGTTGGGTACCCATTTAGTAAGAAAACAATGCATGTTAAAATTAAAAATTATAATGAATCGTCACAACATTAATTAGCAATATTGAATATCAAATGTATTTGTCATCTTTCCATATATGCATATATATTTATTTATACACACTATATACATATATTAAATAAAATAAAAAATATATATCGAAGTCAGATTTGGGGCAGCTAATGCCGTCCCCAAGCCCGCTTCAGGTATGAAAATAAATCCATGTCCCTGTCCCGTTACCTGCCAAACATGGGAATCCCCGCTGGTACCCGCCGCCCTACAGGTAAAATTTCCAAATTTCTAAGTGGGATGTATGTAGATCTGTTTTCTACCCCAAAGAGTAAAGCACGAACAAATTTGGTAGTTGAAATGATTCCCTTTGTTTATATTGTTTCTGGTTCACTATTTAGTCGGCCATGCTAAGTATACAAGACCCCAATCACATAATTACTTCTTTTCACACCAAAGGGTCATTGGCACAATCCCGGGTTACCGGTAGAGCCCAACCTCCCTAAAGGTCAAAGGGTTCAAGCTTCTATCAAATGTTCTATCCATCCGAAATAAAGTGCAATGCTTGGCGGGTATATATGTTGGTGGAAAATAGTTTTTCAATGCAAACTGATCATTATTCTTATAAAGACAATATAAAAAGACAAGGACAAACAGGCCTCCATCTATTGTAGGCCTCAGAACCCTAAACTGCCAAAGAAGTAACTTTAAATTGAAAGAAAAGGATGCATCTTTTTGAGATTCCATAAAACAAATTGGTGTATATGTTTTGGTAAAGAGGGAGCCTGGTTTTATTAAGACACCATCAAGTCATCAATATTAGATGCTACATCCAACAACTTCATCTTCCAAACATACTTTTCCCTTTTAAGATTTTTAAAGCTCAACATTATATACTTTAGCATAAAGTTTAACTAAATATAACAAACTATAATATTAAAAAGACAGAACTATGATGTCCTTGAAAATTTTCTCCAATTTCAACCCCCTTGAACTATTTATGGTGTTCTATGTAGTTCCAACTTCACTACTTGAGCATATATTTTAGCTGTTTTTGTAACGAGAATTTCCCTATACTACCTTGCATCTATATTCATTTTAGATAGTAAAGTTCAAACATATATTCTTTTAATACAAAGTATTAATCAGAGTGATGATATTGCATGCCATTGTATACGAACAGTTATTATTCAAGCCATAAATCTTCAAATGTCTTCAAAATAAGCGATCAAGTTTCCTATCACACATAAACATATGTGCATCATGAATGACCATAAAAAGCTACAAACGAAGAAAACGTCGAGTACCTTGAAATCTGTCAAATCTGGAACCACATAGTTTGGCAGCTTCTCTTGCACCACAACATAACCACCTGTACAAACATGAAGACAATAATATAACCCACATTGTAAAAATAGAAGCATTGAAACTAAACATGTTAAAGTGCTACGTCTAGAAAATGAAGGAACTTCAAACTTCCTAGATCATAGAAGCAACCAGCCACAAGAGTCTTTGCTTACTATGTTATATTATGTCAAAGAACATATGCAAATTCTAGAATGTAAACCGGCTATAATAATCTGTATATTTACCAAGTAAGAGACTCGAAATCTTCTCCAAAACATTTACATTTTGCTTAATAGCCTTCGTCACCACTCATGCAACAATACTATTGTAATTTTAGGCTGATCATGCTAGTTTTCATCCATAGACATTCATCTGCCCTATCCTAAGATATGCAACGAGCCTATAACTTCATATAATTATACAACAAGAATCCTGCATTTATGAAAGGTAGCCAAAAATCTGGTCCAATTTTAAACCATATATTAATGATGAAAAAGGAACACCAAGAAGACAATGTATCACACCCATCAAGACCAAATCATTAACTCCAACAGAACTCATACTTTTTTTCATTATTAAGAAAAGCTATATACATTGAACTTTCCACGTCATTCATGCTGTGGTAGTTCTATAAGCAACCTTATTTCTTAGAAAGAAAGTGTAACAACTAGAAGTGTATATCACCAAAAGTTCCATATTGTAGCAACAATCAACATAGATGAAATCTTAGAACCCATCTTAGAGCTATTAACTTGTGCGAAATACAGGACGAAACAACAAGAATCAGAGTGAGAGCAACAGAGCACCTTTGCGTGTGTGAAAACCAGTTGGTTTACAGTTCTTGCCCTTATAGTAATCACGAGGTCCTGTCTTCGAAGTGAGAATGTTGAGTGAAGATGTTCGCTTCCTTCTATAAGCCCTCCCTATTCCAAGTATTAATCCCAAAGCCATTTTTGCCTCACAAACAACTAATCAAACACCTGCATATAGCAAGGGACCCTATAGGCAGAATTAGATAGATAATCAAATGAAAACAACACAATCAAATGAAAGGAACAGCAATTCCATTATTTAAAATCTCAAAAGAACCCAACAAATTATTATAAGCTACGCCATCAGTTGGAAAAGAAACAAGATTTTGACTATGAGAAATCAAATAAATCCATTTTCAAGCTAAAATTTGATGTGACTTCTAAACTTTCAGGAAAAGACCTTGATCCCATATCGAACATGAAACAGGTACAACAAATTTCAAACAACTGACGAAAGGACCTTTGGACTAGCGGTATCCGGGTTACCGGTAGAACCAAGCTCCAAGGAGGTCAAGGGTTCAAATCTCACCAAAAGTGAGAAGGGTGTGTGAGTTCATTTGTTGTATATAAATATTATCTACTTCAAAAAAATAAACAACCGATGCTAAATTCAAAATGTACCAAACTCAAACGTGCTCTGAAGACTGTTTGGAATCGATACACAAAAGGAAGCTCTTCATGAAGAATGGATAAGGAATAGGCCTTCCCTTTTCACTAGGGTTCTAGAACACGAACAGCATCAACCTTCAACAATCTCCTAGCTACTCACAACTCCTTTGCAATATCACACTCCATGAAATCTCGTCACTACACCCATGTCATGATGTCAATAATGGCCGCACTCTTAACTCTCCTAACATCCTCCTCTTTATACAAGTTTTGTCTTCCAACTCGTGCAATCAAATACCTATTATCTAGATGACCAGGACATCTCAAAATTTTTACCTCAAATTCTCCTCAAACAGAAAAACCCAAACTTCTCCCATATATGATCATTTCCAGTCCTCTACCTCTATGCAAACTGAGAGAAATCCCACATTTAAATGCCAAATAAGTTCCTTTTTGCCAAAATCTACTTGGTATGCTGTAGAAAGAAATGATAAACCACATTTGCAGGTATAAAAGTACAAGAAAACAAATCAAAATCAATTGAAGTAAAAGGGACGACGTTTACGATGATCTTTTTAAGACACGAAAGAAGTGCATCCTAAACTCTTGTTTAGAAAATAACTCCATGATCTTAACCCTAAACCTGCCCAAACTTCTGCATTGCAAACGACCATCACTACAAAATCTTCACAAATAATGCCTAGCTAGCCCTAAGCCCCTAACGAAGATGATGAATCTAAAACCAACTATAATCAGTAAACCACAGAATTCGAAAACCCTAGAAAATGGCGAATCTAAAAGGACTTGAGAACGCTAGAAATTACTTGCTTCGTACTAAGCGAGGAACGAAATAAGCATCTGATCATATAAAACATGAAGGCAAGAGATAAAAAAAGACATTGATGGTAGAAATTCAAACACTTACAAGAACAGCGGCAGCGAAGAAGACAGAAAAGTGGAGAGGCGGCGGCAATGGCAGCGGCCGGTTGAACGCAACCGTTCATCGGTCGAAGGCTCATATGCATTGGGCTTATGATGCCGTGGGCCGGCCCTTTATGAATATTTCAAATGGACTATGAATAATGTATTCCAATTTCCAAAACAAAATTAGAACAAATATAAATAACCTATTTTTATATTTTAGCATTAAGTTTTTGATTTTTCTTTTGCTAATTTTTTTTAAAAATTTTTGGAAATCCATTAAGTTCATTCATGTAACCGTTAAAACCGGTTAATGTGGTAAAATCATGAAATTTTTCAAAATAAACCCAACGTGATAAGTTTTTGAACTGTTTTATGAACAAATAAATCATAAACACTTGGGTTGTGTCGCACTGGTTAAACCTATGTAGTGTAAGTGAATATAGTGTTGTGGGAATCTCACCTACCCTGGTTCGAATTCAGGAGTTGTCAAAGTCCTTGTGGCTATGTAGGTTCACATGTGATGACTTCGTGCCATTTGTGGTAAGGGGTGTCAATTTTGTACCATGACAAACCAACCAACTCTTATACCAACTATACCAATTTAATTGGTACCAACCTAATTGGCTGATAGTACCGTACCAACTATCTAAAAACTTGGTTGGTACATGGTATTAGAAGTCGTGTACCATGGTAGTAATGTACCGTGCCGACTTATTTTTTTTAATTATTTATCAATTAAAGTTTAGTATAATACAACATATTTTGATTTTAAATTGTTCTTATTTTCAATTTCGCTAAATTATGATATAGATTGATATATAGAACTTGATTGAACTCATTTATTCATTCCTAACAACCTTAAGGGCCGTTTACTAAACACTTACCTTGGTAAGTGCTTACCAGCTATATTACCTTATCGGTGAACATAACAAAGACCGAGAGTTTTACCCGGTAAGATGGAAGATAAGAATCGAGAGTCTTATCCAGTAAGTGAGGGTGATGACTCTTACCCGGCAAGCGCTTACCAGGTTATAAATGTTTGTTGTGTTATTCATTTTGATGGCAAAGAATGTTACTCCATAAGGCAAGTGAGAGTGGTGATCATGCGGGTAAGAGCTTACCCGATAAGTGTTTGATAAACGGCTCCTTAGTAACTAGTTCACACTCCCACGGTCCGTCGCCACTTCTCAACGGCCGTTTGTATAGGTTATTAATGAATGATTGTATTATATGAAAAATATTTGAATGTTTGTATATATAGTGATAAGTGGTCCAACACATATGAACATGTTATTTGGATACTCGATGATGGTTTTAGTGCATCTAAATCTAGTTGGAAAGATATTAATATAAATAATTCTATAACTTCAACTTTTAGTTGGTACAAAATCGTACCAACCGAAAAAAGATGGGACTAATCTAGTTGGTTATTAATTACTTTTTATTTATCAAAAATGTATTTAATAGATTTTACAAAATTCAAACGTTTAATAATTCAAAATGCTCGTTAAATTTTTAAACTCATCATAGTTACAAGTCTAAAAAATAAAATAAACTAAATATTTCCAGAAAATGAAATGGGCGTTGCCTTAAGTTTCTTATGCGGCCCAAATTAAATGAAATATTAAAATAAAAAATAATAAAAAATTTATAACTTCCAAAAATTGAAAAGTAGAATTAAAATTGATCGACCAACTAAAATACCAAATAAATATATAACTTGTTGTAGGATAATTGTGCTATCGTCTAAAGTATATGACGATAGAGATAGAGTTTGATATATCAGAGTTAAATTAGAAATGAAATATCTCGTAGTTTTCTACTGTGATAACCGGATCTTTTTGGTTAAAAATTCAGGGTTATTTTTGGAAATTGGTGAAAAGTTGATGTGTTAAATATGTTTATATGCTTAAATCAATTTAAAAACAATACCATTACCGCCTGTTAATTTCTTTTAAAGCGTATTATATGAGATAATTTCATTATCTCATTGGGATGGTATTTTTGAAAAAGAAAGAAACAATTACGTTTTTATGTGTGTGTTTTCTTTGTGTGAAGCAAAACAGAACCTGAAAGGGGAAGTTAGTAGGGAGTTGATTCTGTGATTTCTACTTGAAATTGTGTTGTGACTAATTCATCCTTTTATCATCTTCATCAACGTGAACACAAGGTGATTTAATATTACCAACTTTCCTTATTTAGAAACTGGGTATAGAATCGTATGGTTCTTTATATGAGTTGTTGATTATAAAACTGTTTTTGATGTCATAATTAGCACAACTATGATATTTTGATTTGTTTATATCATTATTGGAATAAGGGTGACATATCAAATAGAAATGTATTTTGGTTATAAAGGTGGCATATCAAGGATATGTGTATACTGGGATAAGAGTGACATATTAAGGAGAGGTGTATATCAGGATAAAGGTGACAAAATCACAAGTTATAAAACATGGGTTTTGATAAAAAAAATTCATAATTATCGCATCCTTATGATGCAATAACTTAGAGTTGTCGCATATGTATGATGCGATGACTTAACGCTGTCGCATCCTATTGATGAGATGAAGTGTGGTTATCACACCAGTGTGATGCAAGGAGTGAGTTTTGTCGCATCCTTTCAACTTGTCGCACCCATATGATGCGAGAAGTTGGGTTTGTCGCACTAGTGTGATACGATGAGTTGATATTCTCGCACCGGTGTGTTGCGAGGAAATGAGTTTGTCTCATCTATGTGATGCGAGAAATTTATATAATCTTCTATATGATGCGACAAGTTTTACTCACAACGTATTTATCAAGTTATTGGATATTTGGATGCAATAAATAAGGTTTGTTATATCAAAATGATGTATATTTGTTATTATTACAAATATGAGTTCATAAATATGATTTAGTGATTTTTCACCCTGTAATTGTATCAAAGAGATTTCTTAATAGACCTCAAGGTCTAATCTCATTTTATGTTTCAAAAATGTACATTATATGTCGAGCACAACCAAATGATAAGGAGAAGAGAAAATTGTGAAGTGATATTATTATGCTTGTATGAGATTTTGAGCTAGCATAAATTTTATTTTGTATCTGGATACTTGTTATGTGTTCAAGTGTTGCATAGAGAAATTGTGGAAAAATTTGGTAGCTATTTTATAATGTAGCTTTTGTAATTATTGGGACAAATTGTGTAAATTATATTTCTTGGTATATGAAAATAAATGTTATATGCAAATGTGATATTGGAGTGTTACATATATATTACTTCTCTCTATCATATTCTTGTTTTTGTTCAGTCATTCTATAACATAACTTATGTTTTTTAAATATATAGCTTATTGTAAAAATAAATGTATAGATCATATCAATATATTAGAAATGTAAAAAAGGATTCCATTTTAATATGTATAAATAAAAAAAAATTCATTTAATATAATATACGAGTTGTATATTTAAACATACCCTCAAATGTAACTTTTGTAGAAAAAATAATTACAGTATTTTTAACAGATTTTAGAAAAAACGAAGACTTCAAGTATTTGTTTTTTGTTTTAACAGATTCTTTAAAAATGAAGAAAGAAGATTAGAGAATGTAAAAAGAATTTACCTCTCCAAAAATATCATCATGAAAGAGTTAATTTTTTATTATATTTACATTACTAAAAGACTTTGGAATTAAATGTTTAACAAAAATAAATAAATAATTATTTAATGATATAATTAATATGTAATCTTAAAAATATAGAAGTCGTTAGAAAATGATCATTAAATGCTCCAAATGAGGTGGCTACCATGTTTCCCATTTTGTGATACTTCTTAGAAATGGGTCCATACATTCATATTTTTATATGTAAAAAGCTATTTGTAACTATTAAATATTATAATTATATCGATTCACATATTTAAAAAGTAAGTTTAGATATTGATGTATGAAAAGAAAACTATTTAATAGGATGTGTTTATTAATGTAAAAGGTGTAATTAATCTTTCCGTTTTATATTAACAAATAAATAAATTATTATAAATTTTGGTTCATGTGGTTTGTTGAATATAACAATTTTTGTCCTTATAATTTTGGACATTATTTGATCACTTTTTTTAATCACCATTAAAAGTTTTCGTTAAATAAGAGGTATGTTCATCGATTTTTTTTGTATCAATCCAAGGCAATTTTATGATTTTAGTCATAGTGGTTTTTAATTGAATAAAAGAAAAAATCAATAAAATAACAACAATATCTCTTGTATAATAGAATTTTTTTTACAGTTTATGATTTATAATTTATTGCTATTTTATTTTTTATGATTTACATTTATTTTTGTTCTGGTTCCTATGATTTATAATTATTTCCTGTTTTGGTAAAAAACTATTTTAGATAGAAATTAGTTTAAAAACAAAATAAAAAATTATCAATGATAAATCGAAAATTAAATTTCTAAAATCATAATAAAAATTATTAACAAAGTATGGGGACTAAAATCGTAATTTACTCTTAAAATTAAAACACACAGCGGAATAAAAACAGAAAAGGTGAAGGTATGAGCTGTAGACTGTAGTTGGCGTCACACCAACATAAAGCATGATCAAACTTCAAAATAACATTTTCTTTTGACCCTCAATTTTAAAACCCCACAACGTGCCTCCTTATACGTGTACTGCCGATCTGTTGAAAGACAACTAGACAGCCACCCACCATTACATACAAGATCATCTGTATATAAACCCTTCTTCTCCCTTATGCTTTCATCGTCTAATCACTCTCTCCCTCTATCTATCTCTATACAGTTGTCTGAAATCTTTAGCTGTTAAAGTCTTCCGGCAACAATGGCGTTTTCGAGCTTTTTGACGGTGTTGATGGTTGCATTGATCGCTGGATCTGCTTTGGCTCAGTCACCTACGGTCGCGCCAACAGTTTCTCCGACGGCTACTCCCACCGCCTCACCTCCGTCTCCTGTTTCCGCGGTTCCTACTTCCTCACCAACTGTTGCTCCGTTGGCTTCTCCACCGGCTCCTCCTACTTCTCTTGCTCCCGGTTCTCCCATCGGTTTGCCTCCTTCGATCTCATCAACTCCTACCGATTCGCCTACGTCTTCTCCACCTAATTCTGCTAGCTTGAACAGAGTTACCGTCGCTGGATCCGTTGCCGTGGTTGTCTTAGCCGCAGCTTTTGTTCTGTAGAGATCTATTCTCATTTCATGATTTTCACGTTGAGTGAGGGTTTGCGACTTGTGATTATATTTACTTCATTGTTATTATTTTTTTTTCCACTAGTTGATTATTAGTCGATCTCTATTTCACGATCCGAGACGACGATCGAGCACTCGATTTGTTGTTGTTGTTGTTGTTGTTATTATCATCATTATTTTATACAATCATCTACTCATTCTTATACATTTTTATCTGTTTGTGTTCAATTTTGGTTCCCTGCGTTTCTTCAATTGAAGATTTTGGGAAAACTACAACAGAAATTGTAGTCGATTGTGTTCAATATGTTTAGAAGCATATTGAGAATTATGATTCTTACGAGTGCTCGAGTGACATAAAATTTGTGTTAGATCATTGGGATGAATTATGAATACTTGTCGTTTTGTTCGGAAAATGGTCAGTACACAGTTCGTCAGTTAGGACAGAGAGTGTGTGTTAAGTAGGTCATATAGGTGTCCAGATGTGCATGTGGAAGGATGCGTGGTTCAAGGTTGAGCCATGTTACCCTGTAGGTTCTATAGGTGTGCAGAAGGACATGTGCTGGCCGTGCTTCAAGGTTTCAGACATGTGTTAAGGTTCCACATACACCATATTTTAACAGTTGCATATTTCACTTGTATATAATCTTATGGAGTTTTTTAACGATGTTTTATTTATTTGGTTACATAATACGAGACTTAAGGTCTATTACTATAGGATCATCCCTAATTGTTTCGTCTTCTCTCTACAACTTGTGTCCGTCTAGCTTTTGATGAAGAGACATGTTAGAATTTCAGAGTTAGTTAGATTTGGATCATCACGGTATCATCTTTTAGATTTTTTTGAAAAGTAATTTACGAGATTTCACACGTTATATTGTTTTTTTCCAGCTAAAGCAATTGCAGGTCAAGTCTGAATGGAATGAACCAATGGGTATTTGTTTGGAAATGTGATAAAAACCGGTTCGATATGATCAAACTGAATCTCGAGAGAAGAAAAGTGAAACAATTTTCTGCTTGAAACACGAAACTATAATACTTCTAGTTATGAAGCAAACTCCAAAACTAATCCATTACTCCTTCCTAAGCCATAAATAAAGGAAATGCATACCCATGACCACTTATTCCGAGGCCACATTTTCAAACATAAATAAGCAAAATAACATAAACAAAATTCTTTTATTAAGCAGTTTATTCGAAAATGAGTTTTCATATCAAATTCAGAAGGTGTCCACAATCATCTAAAATGATATTAAACATCTCCACCAACTTTTTCAGAGAAAAGAAGATTTTAAGTTAATATTTTGCTTCAATAACTTTCTTAAAATTATTTCCAAAGTAGAGAAGGTAGGAAAAATAAGGGTTTTTTTCTCTAAATATGGAGATCACCCTAAAAATGATTATAAGTAAGAACATCAATACGAGTCTTTGAAGATAAATATTTAAAAAGGAAAATAATGTATACTATATTGTAAAGTATTTGACAAAACTCTTAAACTATTTGTTATGCATGAAGTACTATTTATTGATACATATTATTTAAAATTTAATATTACAAATAAATTGTGCGTAAATATAACTTATTGAAGCTCCATATTTGAATTCGTATAACTAACTGCAGATAAGCATAGTTAAATACAAGATAAACATTTTACTATAAATATAAAAAATCTAAACTATAATTAAGATAATCATTGAGTTCTAATAGAATACATAATTATTATCCTTACAAAAAATTATATTATTAAATTAAAATTAAAATTAAAAATAAATTACAAAATTTACATAAAAAACAAAATCTTTTAAATATTTAATTTGACAATAATACCGATATTTTATATTTTATTTAAAAAATAAAAACATTATTCTTTCTTAAAACGACATAAACCATATTATAATGTCTATAGAGACAGAATAAAACGAAACATTAAATTCAGATATATCTCGTTGTATTGTATGAATATCTTTTTAGTGCTTTAATATATAAATTAAATAATTTAATATTATAATTAATGTTAAATTTTTTAAAATATAAAAACTGTCGTAGATGAATGTAAATATTTTATTTTAGAGATTTTAATTTTTGATTTTAATTCTTTTTAGAAAATCCGTTAGAAAATGCCCAAGGAGTGAAGTTGTAAAAATTAAGGGCCCACATCAAAGGTGTGATACAGAATCTCTACTAAACATCCCATCAAAAGTCTTACAAGAAAACCATGCCGTTGATGCATCAAGAACACCGTTAGAGCCTCTAGTTGCTTCAATTCAATCCCTAAAACTTTTTTTTTTTATTAACTTGGATATTTAACTCGTTATTCAAGTCGACTAATTCAGAACCACCACCTATTTTACAGGTAGCCCAGAGTTATTGTATTTGAACCTTGATCCGTGATCACAAGAGGATTTTTATTCCTCCTTAGATTTGAATCTGAGACTTCAAGACACTTTTGACATTTGAAACTCAAACTCAATTCAGTCAGACACTATCATTACTACTAATCTTTTACTTAAAAAAGACAATAATTATCAAAAATGTATAATATGAAAAAAGAAATGCTTGTTACTTCAAAATACAATTCTAACCATAATTTCTTGAAGACAAAGATAACTAAAGTTGGTAACCTAATCTTGACCTACCACTAACCACACATTTTTTTTCAAACAAAATGTTATGTATTTTGCTTTTTCAGCAAAAACAAAGTCTATTTTTTTAAATAGATGTGAACTGATATTATAGATTATTCATATAAACCGTTTATATATGTATTTTTAAATAGATTTTTCAATATACATATATTTTAACTTTTTCATGATATTTAGTCTTCTTATTTGAACCTTCAACCATAAAATAAATCGTAAATATTATCTCTTTCTAAATGCAAACAATTCAAAACAAAAAGAAAAACAATGCAAATACATAAAAATAATCTAAAATAAAAATGATAAGAAATAAAGAGAGAGCACTGCCTCCATCCTGGCCGGCCGGAAAATTAACTCAGGCAAGAACCAATTCCCACAGCAATGCAACCAAACTGAAAATAGCAGCTGCAAAAGGTGAGATGGCCGACGATGAACTTTCAGCCGGAATATTCCTAGTTTCGGCAGCCGTTGTAGCAGGGGTAAGAGTGTTTCCAAGGGTTGTTGAGGTGGAGGGAGAATCGGCTGTTATGGATGATGGAGCGGCGGAGGGACTACCATCGGCGCCGGTGACAGCAACTGTCAGCTTCATGCCACCACTACAATGTCCGACGACACCACATATGAAGTAATGGTTGCCGGTGGTGTTTAGAGCGATAGTGCTGGTGCCGGAATTGTAAGACGCGATGGAATTGCCGACGGAGCAGGTGGTGTAATCGCCGGAGCTCACTTCATCCACCGTATGGCTACTGTCGTAGTTGAATACTATGAAAAACATAATCTAAGTTATTAATTATATCCAATTTTACCAGTTGGCAATAAAGAGAATAATGAATTTCTATATCTAATAATTAAGGGTAAAATCCAAAATATTCATTTACTTTTAAATATAAACATTTATTTTGAGACAAACTACCCTAAAAATGTAAGCACATACTTTTTACAAGTGGGACCCAGTGAAATTTTTTGACTACTTTATGACCATAATCTTTCTATATTACATATGGGTGTTGATAAGTTGACCTTTTTTGAGTTAGATCGTGCATTAAAAAAAACAAGATGACAAGATGTTGATGTGTGAAGGTGAAACAATTCGTTGTTGATGGACTAATTACTGATCTTAAGAAAGCAGCAACACCTTACTATCATCGACAATAACACGTACACCATCAATGCCGACATCTTTAGTAGGGGTTTATTTTGTAATAATAATAAAAATAAGATTTAAAATAACCCATTATGTGTAGGGGGGAAAACGGAAACAATAACCAACCAGAACTATAATAGTTGATGTATGTTATGTAATGTAAGGACAAAAATGAAACAAATAAAAATCAAGTCTCTACTATCATTTTATGAGTGTAAACTATAAGAGTAAAAACGGAAATAAAAACTTACCAAGACTATCTCCCACTTTGAAAGTTTTGTCACCCGTCCAGGTGGTGTAATCGACGCTTAGTGCCCAACCAGCCGTGTCTCCCACTATATACACCTTTGCCAAACCGCATGTAAAGCAACTTAAGATTACCATAAAGCCCATCATTCCGATATCGTAAGTTGCCATATTTGTTTGTGTTTTTGAGAGAATATGAGCAAAGGATGTGGGAGGGGTTAGGGGGTTATATAAGGGATTGATTTTGAATTTATGTGAAGCGATGGTTCACTCACTACATGAGAAAAGATAAGATGGACACTTGTACAAAAGGTATAAAGTTTCGTGGGACATTTGGAGGGAATTAATAATGTGTTTATGTTACTTACAAATCAATTAAATTTGTTCATAATTCTTATCTATACTGTTTTTTCCTTTTTTACTTTAAATAGTTATACAAACACGTGCCTTTAAAAAAACTAAGAGGTTATTTTAAATGAGATTAGATTAAAGCAAGCAAGAGGTTGTGTCTGGAATAGAGATACACAAAAAATCACAAACTCGAAACTCGTCCCAAAAAAATCGAGCCTCGTGAGCTCGAAGCCTGGTCTGGACCATACCTCAGATCCTGATCAGGACAAACTTTTGGGGGAAGACCGGGCCTTAACCCATCTTGAAAAAACTCGTCCTAAAAAGACTAGACTTGAAAAAATCATTTTTCAACCCCAACGACCAGTCCAACCCAACTCGACTCTAAAAGAGTTTGGGTTTTTTTTCCTCTCTAAAAATGGGTTTGAAGGTCTAGTCCTGGTCTGAAAAAGATCATATTTTATGCATCTCTAGTATCGAATAAACCGTTAACTAACTGGATGTTTACAAAATTTTAAGAATTAAGCGTTGAATGTATAACCAACAATTCGTATTTCAAGTAATTTTTATTAAATTACTTTACTTATTTTATAAGATTAAGTTATTTGAATTGAAAGAAAAATCTCAATATTTGATGAATGTATCAAAGCAACTCTTTTGGGATTGCTTGAGTTGGAATTCATACCAACTCATTTGTAGGTCCATTGTTGGATTTAATTTTCAATCTACAAATTTAATAAAACTTATATATACTTGTATTTTAGTATAATCAATTTCCTTTTATTATTATGTTCTGTTTAACTTCGTATTAGATATGTAAATATACCTTTTACTTTGAATATTTTATTTTTTTGTTCGTTGAAAACATAAAATGTTATATAATTAATTTATAAGATGATAATCAAATGAAAATCATAAAAAAAGTTATAAATCTATAATAATTGATATAAAAAATAAAAAAATTTAATCAAAGATTATAATTTTAAGATACTGTTTCACATATATTTGTGTTCACAGGATGCAAAATACATATGAAACCTTTTTTGTTCACATAGTAAAAAAAAAAAAAAAACATGTTAAAACGTTTGACATGATGAAACAAATACATATTTATTATATTATGAAACAATACCTTAAATCTTAGTGTTTTTTTGAAAAAGAATCATGTAAAAGATATTTTTGATGTTAATTAACATTTTTTTGTTAATTAATTTTAAAATAAGTAAATTACATTTTCGTCTTTGTAGTTTGTTAAAAGTTACAGATTTCATCCTTGTGGTTTTAAAATTTCAATTTTCATCCTTGTGATTTGTAAAGTTATTTCTATCTCTAAGGCTAAAACACTACTTTTAAGTATAAAAAACTAAAATAGAAGTGAATTTCAAAACCATAAGAACAAACAAAACAATAAATTTTAAAATATAAGAACAAAAAAAGTAATGAATTATCAACTAAAAGGATGAAAATCATAATTTAAAAACCATAAGGACAAAAATATAAATTTTCAACAAACACTAGGGATTAAAACATAATTTACTCTTTTAAAAATTAAAAACCAACTGAAAATGATAAATAGACCAACCACATGTAGGCATGGCAACGGGGCCGGAATGAGGCGGATTTTGTAATCCCCGGATCCGGCCCCGGTTTGTAGTAACATCCCCTGGTCCCGACGGGTTCAGGGATTAACATCCCGTCCCCAGTCAAACCGCTATCAATCCCCGGTCAAACCCCATGAAGAATATCTCTTAGTTTGATTCTATCGAGAATCCCTGGTCCCAACTCTAATTTGAGTAACATCCCCGCTCTGAGCCTATCAGAGATCCCCGGCCCCATGATTCGTATTAGTGGGGAATCTTCGTCCCCATTTGGATCGGGTGAAGCGGGTTTTCCATCGGATCGGCACAATCACCATCCCTAACCACATGAGAAAGACTTGTGACTATGTAAGGTGAGGTCCACCATACTTAACCAACAGCCGCGCCTCCCAACTTTTGTTGGTATACTCTTTTCCCATTAAAAAATAATTCAAAAACGTGTTTGTGGATTGCTTATTTGAAACAATTAATTTTTTTTATAAAAGTCTTTATCAATTTATTATAAGTTAGAAGAATGATTTAATTTCTTCAAAAATCTCATGTTATCGGTTTGACACCGTATAAGTTGTTTATTCAAACACTTAAAAATGTTTATTACCGGTGTCACACCGAAATAAGTCAATAAATTATTTTTATAAGCAATCCCAAACTCCCTCTTAAATCGTCGAGTAAATTACGTTTTTAGTCTCTGTAGTTTACTAAAATTTCTATTTTTGTTCTTATGGTTTTAAAATTACACATATGATCATGTATAATCCATTTTCTTTTTCATACTTATCATTTAATATTTATTGCTTTTTCATCTCCATGTTTTACAATTCATTTTTATTTTAGTTCTTCATACTTAAAAGTAGTATTTTGACCTCAAGAACGAAAATAGAAATAAATTGCAAACCATAAGATTGAGAATGAAGATCGAAATTTTGAAACCAAATAAATAAAATCCGCAATTTTTTACAAACCATATATTTAAGTCGTCATACAAAGTAAATTTTTACATGAATTAATTCGTAAGTTGTTTGAGTATAACCATCACAAAAAAGAAATCATATTCTGAAACCCATATCCAAGAATATTATGTGTCCGAGGAAAACGTTCTTTTACAACATCTACAACAGTTATATTATTTTAGAAATTTTAGAGATTTTTGCTCTAAAAACTATGCTAACTTTCCTTTAAAATAGAAAAAAAATAGAAGAAATTTTCAAATTTAGAAATAAGAGAGAAAATATAGCATACATGTTAAAAATGCTTTACTAAGGTAGAGTTTGAGGAATTTTGGTTACAATTTTATTTATTTATTATTATTATTATAAAAAGGAATGGTTATTAGAATTTGTTATTTGATAGGTGTTTAGACCAGTTTATAAGGCTCTAAATGGTGTGAAAAGTGATGCTGAGGACAAGCCACAAACTTTACACATCACGACAAGAACATAACATTTTCTAAAACATAACATATCAAATATATAATTATATATGTTTTATATCTATTATTCAATAAAGATTACAATGTTAAAAAAAAATCATATATTATTATTATTATTATTATTATAATATAAAAAGTTATAATGATCAAATATTCAAAATAAAACTCAAAATAATTTTAATTACGAATATGTGACACGTGAGAATTCATAAAACTATTAGTAATGTGATTAATTAGTTAATTTGTAAAAGTGTAAAATTTAAAGTTAAAAGCCACGGCTTGTAAAAGACTCATGCCACAACATGTCGCTATAAGCCTTATCGTAACGACGTTAGAACATTGGTTAATGGCCTATCGCAAACCCTCCAATAACATGAAGAGACTTGAACCGATTATCTCAAGAAATCAAACTCAAAACCATATCAATTGAACTACCCGACAGTTTGTTATTTGTGGGTAATAATAAACATGGATGTGAATTTGGTTAGTTAAATTAGAAGTTACCTCCAAAGTAGTAGGTCAAATGAAAAGGGCAAACACCATTACTTCTAGATTCATTTCACTTTTGGTATCATTTCAACATCCTCCCACCACCTAATTTTGAAATCCCAACTCAAAATTCAATTTTCTTTCGCACTTTATCAAAAGCCCAACATCATTCATCATACAAAAACCAAATCTACCTTTTGTGGTACCCTACATCTACATCTACATCTGTATGAGATATACTGAAAAGCAAATGTTTAGTCGATCCTTACGCATATGTTTAGGATTGATTTGAAATAATTGTTTCTAAAACTACTTGTAGAATTAAAATTCACAATTTCCATGACAGAATAGAATGGCATACCTAACCAGGTGAAATCTACATATGTTTAAGATCATAACTTTAAAGACTTGATATATAAAACCAAAAATGAGGCAAAGAAAAGGCGGGACCTCTTCGATTAAGCTTCTACTTCATCAGCTGTTTGTGCTTGCTCTCCTTCGGTTTCTGATTTGCTTGATTCATCTTTAGATTCAAGAGCCTTTTTTGTAGATTGTCTAAGAAATCTTTTACTAGGTGACACTCGAATCGCCCTCCCCATAAACACCTACAACAAAATGAAACAAACTATTAGTCCCACATCAGCTAAATTTGAACCATTTCTCTTTGATATATGTTGGAGACTAACGTATCTACTTAAGAGCTCTTTTGGAGAGTGATCCGAGGGAGTTCTGCATATTCTCACATGGTATCAGAGTCAAGATCTACCACTCCAGCGACTCGACACTTTGGGCAATCTATACTCATCTAGACCCCTCTCAACCCTCTAGAACAATCTATGCCTGTATAACCCCGTTGGAGGTGTTTTCACATCAGCAAAACTTGGATAAATTCTTCCCAATATATGTTGGAACCTCTCTTCTCTCATCAAAGGCTCTTTTGGAAAGTAATCTAACGGGTTCAAATTCTACATATTCTCATAGAAAAATTTCTTCCAAAATCACATTAAACTCCAAAAAAAGATCAGTCAGACTAGTTACCTTTCCTTGAAAAGCAGAGAGCGCAGCCTCGGCCTCCTGCTTGGTATTAAACGAAACAAAACCATAACCAGCAGAACCTCGTGGCTTTTCATGAAATATAATCTCCGCAGATACAACATTAGCATTTTCAGCACTAAAGAACTCCATAAGGTCTTTTGATCGTGCTTGAAATGGTAAATTTGCGACAAATAAGTTGTGTACAGGAACCAGCTTCGGTTGTGCAGGGGCAGAAGGTTTTGGTGTTTTCCGTGGCTTTGCCCAAGTGAGGTTTAAATTTCTGCCCATAAATTCCTAAATCGAGCAGATAAAAAGATTCAAGCTTTGTTTAGAGAAAACGAAAAGAATGGCAAAAATATTTTACCTTTGTGGTAAAAGAATGTATTAATTTCACTATCAAAGTAAAATACTTCATTCCAAGATTAAAAAAAATCAGCTTTATGTAAAAAGATAAGATAGATTTGACTTTCATAGTCAAATGCTTCCTTCATCTTATAAGAAAAGCCAAACGTTTGTGTCTTATTTCCAAAAGAAAATGATAAATTCGACATTCGTATTCAAAGAAGTCCATCAGCCTATAAAAGAAGCAAAAAGATTTCAACTTTATGCCAAAAGTAATAAGCTTGATTTCATAGTCAAATATTTCCCATGTTTGACTTCATCACATGGTTTAAGTAAACAATTTGAGCATATGTTGAATATCTAAAATACTCTTCAATAGGGACTTAATCATTTGAGAACTCAAAAATTTCTTGACAACTTCTACTTTAAGGTTTTGTTTCATATGATCTTTTTCCATCTAAGTATAGTATTTAATGTACGAATTAACATATATTCGTTTCAAAATGTGTTTGTTCATATGTATTCGGTTCACAATATGAAACTTTTTTACATGTATTTTTTGTTTCACAAACATGCCAAAAAGCTTTACATTGTAAACTGAGTACATACAAAATAAACACATTGTGAAACAAATATATATTAATCACTACATTAATATCTAGACATAAACCACAAGAGTGGTGCCCGATTGGAGGTCAAATCCAAGGAGACTCCTAGCTTGTGAGAAAACTAGTAATATGATAATGGGCAAAAAATCAAAATGTTTAGCAATGAAACAGTTCTGGACTCACATATGACTGAAGATTTGTGAATGCTGCCAATGCTTCCTCGTGTGAGCCCATTGAAACAAACACCAACCCTCGGTTTCTGGTTTTGCTATACATCGACACCTTAACAAAAACAAACAAACAAACCAAAATAGTCAAACAAAAGATCCATCGAAAAAGAGCAAATAATCTTTAGGCCGTCAAATAAGATGAATGAGAGACATCAATACATAATTAAGCATATACTCTCTCAGTCCCAAAGTAAATGTCCACAACTAAAAAGGCATAAAGATTTAGAAATATGTAATCACTACACTTTGTAATTAACTAAATAACAATCCCATATTTGGTTTAAAAGAATGTCCGGAAATTCAAATCCTGGGCTTTTAATGAAATCCCATTAATTTCATAGGTTTTGTTTGTAATAATGTTTTAGAATATGTTAAAAACACTTGTTTTATAATCAATTAATAAAAAGGTATTTTAATCCAAATCCCTCGGAAACCTTAATAATCACAATATAAGAGAGGTTTAGGGTATCAAAATCAAACTAGCAATAATCTGCAACTGTAATGATCCCAAAGGATAAGAAGATAATTTTAGCTCTATCCTGAAGTTGGCCAAACACCAGAATGCAATTAAGCATTCCAAAATTAGAACAAGTCTTGTCGACCAAAACCATCCACAACTACATTTAGAATGATTCACAGCTACATTTGGCATATTACTACATGGCAATTTTAGCTTTCACATGCTTCCATAAACAAAATTGTCGCCACAAATTGGACCAATAAACGACTTGAACAATGAAATTTTGGAGAGATTGCAGGGTAGTTCAATGTTGGCTGTCAAAACCAAGATGTAAATAAGTAAAAAAAGCTAAAACAGAACAAAACCCTAACATACTTCGAGAAGAAAATTGCGAACCTCAATATCAACAACGGTGCCATACTTTTCAAACAGAGGACGAATCTCATCTGCAGTACAAGTCCAAGGAACATTCTGAGCAAGCAATCTCGTTCTAGAAGCTTCATCTTCCAATTGTTCTACAGTATCCGGTGAATTCTCAACTTGTGGGGCTTCAATGGCAGATTGGGTTTGGAAAACGAGAAAATTAGGTCTGTGTGTTTTGAAGAAGCGATTAGGAAGTGAAGCAGAGAGAGATAAGGATTGAAGATATGAGGGATTAGGGTTAATAGGTTGAAAGAAGTGCTGGTGTTGCTGGTTATGGAAGATAGAAGCTGAAGGAAGACAGAGAAAACGAAGCAACGCCATTGATGATGGAAACCCAAGAATCTGTAAAGTCTTTGAGCAGGGAGAGTGGATAAGGGGAGTAAAAAAAGTATTTTCCGCCAAAAGGCTAAAATATTAAATGCTTGAACAAAAGAAATAGATAGAGAGAGAGAGAGAGAGAGTAAATTACAAAATTGCCCCTAGGTTAACAAATAAATGGTTATTATTTCTATAAGTACATCAATAATTTTTGAAACTGAAATGTTAGTACAAGACTTTACGGATGGAGATGGTAATTGTTACCGCCTTTGTACAAAAGACCAAAACTTGAGTCCAACTAATGTCGTTTTTTTTTTTGTTTTTAGTTTAAATTGCAATGGTTTTTATATATTTTTTTATACTTTTAAAAATACATGTAGATAAAACTTGAACATGGATCTCTTCTATACAGAGACAAAAGACCAACCAAAAAATCTATATTAATTTTGTGAAAATTTTCCTTAGAATAATTTTTATAGTTATATTATACCATCACTTATAAAAACTAGAATTATATGTAATCATATAATTTTCTTAAGTTGTTTTAATTTTCTTGTTTTTTTGAAACATAAGCTCTTAAGAGGATGTGTTATTATTATTTTAATTGTTTCCACCAATAAAATTGAATGCGTTACAAATTTTTATAAAGCTTCTATAAAACTGTATTGGAATGACAATTTATAAAATATATTAATAACATAATAATACTAGAATTGGTAAAATAGATTAACTATTGGAATTGAAAGTGAATTTTTAGGGAAATTTGATTTTTGACGTTCTGTTTAAAAAAAATTATAATATAACTATTGTAAATATCCTTATAGATTCGAGATTTTCCTTGTGAGATACATAGGAGGGTCCTATGGAGGATGTGGTCAGAAATCCATAATAGAGTCCGACTATAATGACCGAACTGATAAACAATTTTACGCTGATTATTTTACAAATTACAAACAACTATTGTTGTTTTTTAAGCATTTCAACAAATAAAATGATTAGTTTGGAATAAAACTACACTAATGCTATATTATTTCCAAACCATCTTTGAAAATAAGCTCTTGAAACAAAATCTTAGCAAGAGTTGGGCGTTTCACATAAACAAAATTCATAAAAGCTTGTAGGAGTCACTTTTTGTTCAATCGAAACTCCGGGGTGTTGTGTCGCAACGGAGAGAGTGGGTGCCGTGGGGAACCGGCTTCAATGAAGTCGACTTTCTTCTCAATAGGACTGCAATCTCTAGGACTAGACTTTCGTTTATTATTCTACATGGAAATTTGTATGGAAACGGTTAGATGAAATCCTCAAATTTATACAACTTGAAAAGATACGAAAGAAAATGAAGAAAATGGAAAATATGACGTTATGGACAGAGAGAGGTACAATGTTATCACTATCTTAGCGAATTTGAGCATATCCTACAATGGCCTATTTTAGTTTTTCTAAAAAGATGCACCTCTAAATAAAATGGTTGTTCTGAAGCTTATTGAGATTAATGAAAAAAATTTGTTGTCCACAATTACGTGAAGTCATATAATCCATTTATTGAGGAGAGCGAATAAAAATACCTATTAGATAAATTCATATTAAAATAAAAATGAAGAGTAATTTTGGTCCACAATGTTTGCAATTTTCAAAAGGTATCATCCCTAAACTTCAAAAACTTGGCATCTGGTCCTAACGGTTTTGGTCCCTCTGTCTAACGATCGTTAACTTTCTCCATTAAGTCCACTTAAACGAGGATTATTTTAGACGTTTTCATTATTTTATATCATATTAAAATAAAAATACATATTACATTTTTATTTTTAAAGTGTAAAACAACCCGAAAGGTGGTGGTTATCCTTTTTTTCTTTTCTTTTTTTGTTTTACAATTTAAAATTAAAACTATAATGTGTTTTTTAATCTTAATATAAAATTCAGAAAATAGTAAAAATGACTAAAATAACCCTCATTTAACTAGAGTTGACGGAAAAAGTTAATGACGGTTAGAGATAGGGACCAAAACCGTTGGGAATTGACAAACGAGAGAGAGACCAAATCCAAAATTTTGAAGTTTAGGACCAACATCTGTATCTTGTAAAAGGTGCTGAAATGAAATGAGGGATAAGTATCTAATTGAACTGTGTCCCATGCATGTGATCACGAAATACAACCATTGTTATTCACTTGTCCATAAAAATGTGCTTTTGAGTACAATGATTGTATCAAGATTTGGGAAGAATACTGAATACAATGGTTGTACTCATTGTTCCTTTTAAAAGATGTTTTAAAAAAATTCTTTTTTTTACCCCCAGAATTCGGAATGGCAAAACTACTATGCTTGCCCCCAGAATTAGATTTCTCTAAATTAGATTTCTGACCTTCATGGATGCACTACTATGCTTGCCCCCAGAATCATTTAGTTGTCTCTCTTTTTGGAGTAGCTTCATCAATCTCCTGTTCTCCTTGTCCAATATGTTGTTTTCTTCAAACAGGACTTTAACCTATGCATCCCAAGTTTAGTTTAGTCAAAGGAACTTAAAAACACGCACACAAACACACACATAAAAACCACACAAACCTCCTCTTCGGCTGTTGTGAGATTATTCCTTAAATGGTCTTTTTCTTTCTGCAATATCTTGACTTGAGAAGCCAATGCTAAAACTTTTTGTGTTGAGGGCTTCAAGCTACAATGAATTGAATACAATTTAGGTAACTTTCTGCAGAATTTTGTGCAAAGAGAAAAAAAATGCTAATTGCTAACCTTTCCCACATTTCCAGCATTTTTTGGCACACTTCCACTCCATTATTTGCCTCTAAGAAAGAATGCGCTGTTGATGCAACATTGTCGTTGCTGATCAAATTTGATAGCAATGTATCAACAAGAAAATGTTCCGTGGATGCAGTTTTCGTTTCCTCGCTGATCTTTTAATCAAGCAAAAAGATAATGTAATTGTAATCAGTACTGGTTTAAGATATGTATCTGGAGGTTCAGATGGTAAGGAAGAGATAAGATTAAAATGACAAAAAAGTGCAACATGAAATCAAAGAAGATAAACTAGTAATTTTCATGCTATCAGTTTATGACTAGTAATGCTCTTTCTGTTTCTCTTCCACAAATTGGTTGATCAGTTGTTTTATGTTTTCATTTCAGTATTGTGGACATATACTTTGCATTTTATATATCCAAATTGTGTGCATATGAATTTGTTCTGTTTGGTTTGATTTCACCAACTCCCACATCAACATCTCCTGTGTATGAATTAATCTTTTGGATGACAGGCTAATAGATGACATACACATATAGTGGTTTATCAGGTCTCAACTAGCTGAAAAAGTAAAATTCAAAATCAATGCATCTACCATCATCAAGAAGATGCTACACATCCACACTTTAAGTCATACAAAAGAATAATACTCGGTAGATTTTAGGAAAAATGCATAAATATTGAATTGTCTACTCATGAGTGATAACATAGACATCTCCTCACTCTTCCACTCTATGTTCCAGATGGCTGTTAAATATGCTAACTTATCCGGCAAAGAAAGTTATTCTCTGTACCTACATTAGATACCCCCACACAAACCAAAAATAACAAGAATCTACATATAAAGTAAGGCAAGCACATGATCATCATAAAGAGTTTGAGCCTTTCCAACAAGAGGCAACTTCATTACTTCCATTGTAATACATAATTTCCATAAACTGATCAAGGATATTTAGTTTATAGTATGGTGGGACACTTTTTGAAGTATGAATATAAAATAACAAAACCTTAAAACCCATCATATGATAGGTCTCTTTCTGCAATTCAGTAAACCATTTTATCAATTGTCTACTGTTCCAATTTCGGTAACACTAATCACCCATATGTTATTTACTTCAAAAAGAAAATCTTTCAACAACCCTTAAATATAAAGCATTTTATATTTATACTCAAATGAAATGATCAATTACCTGTTTCCCCTCCGATTGATGCTTATAGAACAGCAGTTCTTCTGACAATTTACTTAATTCCTCTTCCAAATCATGAACACGCGACTCTGCCTCCTTAGCTCTATTGTCTGCCTCATTCCCGAAGTCCATCAAAGCCTCTCGATCATGATCATACAATAAACACTCCTTCTCCCATTTGTTACACTGACTTAACAAATTAACACATTCTGTAGCCAATTTCTGATTCTCTTCTACAAACTTCTTTACAGCTTGTGCATTCATAATCGATTCAGCCTATATACAATTCAAGGGAATAAAACAAAAACTCAATAAATTTTATTTCATGAGAAGATAACCACTCCATTATCATAATTCCCAATTAACGAACCAAAAAAGCACAACTCAATTTTTTCCGGCAGCAAGTTCAGCATTTTCTAAAGTCCGTGAAAGGGAAGGAGTGAAATTAAAACAAGGTCAACCAAACCATTAAACCCTAATTAAGCAATTCCTAATTTACTGCAAGGAATTTGTAAGGTCTGAAAGCAATATTTACTTCAACGGAATCGTAAAATGTTAACTGAACAGAAAATACAAACCCTAACACGCTCGATGGTTTCGTCTTTCTCTTTCAATTTGGATTTCAGATAAAAATACTGATCGTGAAGACGCCTTTGCGTTTCATAGGAAGATCGAAGCTTTAACTCAAGAGTACGTGTAGATACCGGAAGACCGAGTGAATACTCGATCGATTCACGAATGTAATCATCAGTCTCTTGCGGAAGGTCCATCCTCTACTTCTGCGTGAACTGAATCGTGCTTTTAAACACCCCCCAATTCAACGAAATTCAAGAAACAAATCCTAGATGGAATTTTTTGCTACAAATCCACACACAAGAACACAAAATTAGGGAGAGATTGAGAGAATTTGGTCTGAAATAAGAATAGGGTTTATTTGAAATTGGGGGAGAGCCGTTAGAAAAGGGGCTAGCATCGAAGTCGGTGTAAGCGCATTTGCCTTTTGAAAATGTTTGAAAATTGCAACTTCAGACCTCCATCTTTGAAGATATTTTCAAAGTGCACCCGCAACTCCCTCCATCTTTGAAAATATGTGCAAATTTCAAATCCTCCATCTTTGAAAATATGTGCAAATTGCACCTCTCACCTCCATCTTTGAAAGTTCCTACAAATCCAAAATTAATTTAATGAGTAAACTATAACACCTATTGAACACTTCAGTTTGTAAAATATCATCATAATTGAACAAGAAGTCCAATTTTGCCCTTTATTATCCTGTTTTGACTTTAATTCAATTTTAATGACATCATAAAGCAAAAAAATTACTATGAAAATAATAAAAGATAATAATTATGATATTTATTTATTATAAGTTCAACAATTGATGTTAAAAAAGACAATGAATAACCCAATAAATATTCGATAAACCGCTCACTAGTTACGATAAACAATCCATTACCATTTTATGTGAAAATATATATAAAATTGAATTAAACCCAACCCAATGCTTGCAGTTTGAAAAATCTTAATCCAACCCAACCCAAACCAAATTGCAAATCAACCCAACACAACCCGTGCGGGTTGGTCGCATTGGTCGGGTTAATATTTTGGTACATAAAATTATTCTTCTAACCTTGAATATATTGTTTTTCTACTCATATTTTTTTTTTCATCATCAACCATTTAATACAGTTTATACATACTTCTTACGTATATCACATTCAATTGATCTTCTCAATTGACATATATATGTTAACAGTTATTGAACATATATACGAATGAGTTATATAAAGATATAAATAGATTGAAAATATGTGTATATGAATATCGTACATGATAGTATAACTATCTAATGTATATATTAATAGAAATTTAACTATCATATTAAATCCAAGAAATAAAAGGATATCGGGTTCATCGGGTTGGGTTGGGTTCAAATAATAGCAATCAAATATCAACTCAATACCAACAGTTTGAAAATTTTACAACTCGATTAGACATTGGGTTGCTTCGAGTTGAGTTATTTCGCGTAGGGTTGATCGGGTTTTTGAGCACCCCATTATAAGTAATGTAGATAATCTTCAATTTACAAATCATATGATTCTCATCCTCAAACATTCGTCATAATATATTAAAAACGTGAAAAATAACGAATCATTTATCAGAGGTATTTCAAATATAAGGGTATGTTTGGTTCGCGATTTTTTGTTGTTGATGAAATTAGAATGACAAATTCTTTGATGATGTTTGGTTCGTGGAATGAATTAAGTGGATACCACCGGATTTCACGGGTGAGGGATTTGATCATTCCTTAACATATGTGAAGGATTTGAATTCCAGATGTAACATAATTTTAAAATTGGTTTTACAAAGACAAAAATAACATTTGCATCCAATTTAATCAACTCCACCACCTCCTCTCTCACCAACCGAACCACCCCTCACCACATCCCTCCCCCTGCTCTTGCCGCTAACATCTCTGATACCACTATCGTTGTCACAACCACCATCAAATATTATCATTCCACCACTGCCACCCCCATCACACCACCATGCCACTTTATATTCATTAATCACCATCATCAAAAAGGGAATATAAAAATAAATTTAAAATAAGTGAAAATTTGATTGAACGAAACATAAACACGATGTTGGATGAGATTTAGATTTTAGAGATAAGCTAAGCAAATAAAGGGAGTTGGGTTGATGGGCCAACTATCCAAGTTGGGCCCAACCCGTTCCAAGAAAGAAAATGGTAGCATTTCAATATAAAATCTTTATGTATACTTCATTCACAAAAAGTCCTTATATATACTAAAAAGTTTGAATAATGAATTGGAACTTCATATTTCGATCATCTTAGGTTTTTGGTTCATCGAAATTTGCCAGAATTTGAAACGCTTATTCATGCATTTGGTTGATTATTTGAGTTTTGGTAGGGAATTCGAATTTCACATGTCTAAATGTAAATTTCTTGGGTTTTAATAATGATTTCTAATTTAAGGAAAAACTAATGGTCTTATATTTACTCTATTATATTCGATCACACTACCATGGTTGTTGCCACCACGTCCTTATCACTATCTCCTTCACCACCACCATTGTCGCTTTCACCCCCACACTGTAGCTACCACCTCCACCGCCACCACCACCACCATCACCATACTCATCACCACTGCCACTACTACCACCACTATCATCGACATCACTATCGCCTCCAACCCCACCACCACTATTATATTCAACAAACCAAACCGACTTATTCAATTTTTTTTGATAGGTTCCAGTTCAATTTTAATTTGTCCATCAAACGCATGGTTAAACCTAAATGAATTCCATTCCAAATTCTTGCACTACTAGAGAACAGAGTATCAGCAACGGGAAAAATCGTTCGCAGATCAACGACAGATTGGTCAAAAACCACTTCCCTCGTTGAATTTGAAAATTAAATTGCATGGATTTGATATTTTAAATTGTATGAATTGGATATTTTAAATTATATGAATTAGTTAGTTTTAATTTGTTCACAATTTTGGTTTGTTATTTTATAATCAGGTTTTGTATAAATAAATATAGGAATTATGTAATTATAAATTATTTATTTTTAAATTAACAAAAATTAGCGACGTAAAATCCGTCATTAAAAGTTTATGGTCCCTCGTTAATCCCTCACTAATCCGTCACTGAAAGTTTGCTTCGTTAATCCGTCGCTGAAAGTATTCATCGCTAATCCGTCACCGAAAAATCCCTCGCTTATCTGTCATTGAAAATATCTGTCGCTGAAAGTTTCCGTCGTTAATCCATCGCTGAAAGTTTCCGTTGCTAAAAGTTTACGTCACTGATCCGTTGCTGAATTTCATTACTGATCTGTCGTTGATAGCATTTACCTACGAGCTTTTGGCCGACGGACGATCAACGACAGATGGGGCCTTTAGCGACGGATTTGCAAGAGATTTTTATTTCGCTGATACTCTTCATTTTTGTAGTGTTGTCGACCAAACACATGGTCAAACTTGATTAAATCCCTTCTAATTTCTTCAGATTTCAATTCCTTTGAAAATTTCAATTCCAACAAATTTCAGTCATTAAACCAAACACCTATTGGTGAATATGCCCCAAAGCCAAGCATTTGATAATTTTGTTTGGACACTATGTCATGATATTACACTACAAAAATGCAGATCAGCGAGGGATCTGTTAACATTGATAATCAGAGGGCTGTAACTGGTATTCATTTTCTATATATTACAATGAAAAGAAAGGCCCTTTTTATAGGCACTACAACAGAGA